GTCGTGAGCTGCCGGCCCCGCAGTCCGGACGAGAACCGCACCCTTTACACGGCCGTCGGGCAAGGATGCTGGGCCGTCTAGTCCCTTCAAGCGCCGTGGGCAGAGAGAAGGACGAAGCCGCTTATAGAAGCCGCCGCCCCTCGCACCCCGGGACCGGAGAGGGGAGCGCGTGCGGCCGCCGGACTCCACCCCTTACCTGGACCCTTCCTTCCTTCCTTCCGGACCACTGCCCTTCCCTGCACGAACCCCGCAGCACGACGAGGACACCAGATCCCGTTTATTTTGGACACTTGATTCCCTTTTTTCTGGACACTGTTTATTTTCTGTTAATAAACTGTGTCTGTCGTTTGCTCCTCCCGCGACAACACACCCATTAACGTACACTAAGCTAGAGTGCATACAGATCTCACGCACAGGAAGTCATGCCCTGGGGGTAAGCAGATAAACATCACATTTTCATTTTTGGGTGAACTATCCCTTTAAGGGTATGAATACTTATTTCAGTTTTTTTATTTTTAATAACTTTGCAAAGTTGTCACAAATCAGTTTTTTTGCTTTGTCATTATGGTGTATGGAGTGTAAATTGATGTGGGGAAAAAAGTAATTTATAGCAGTTTAACATAAAGCTGCAACATGACAAAACGTGAAAAAAATAACTATCTGAACCATGAGGCAAAAACTAGGGTAGTTGTTCTACAGAAGTTCTCAATGCAGTACCATGGGAACTTGTTTACACGTCTTTGTTTCCAGATGGGGCTCCAGTAACGTGTAGAAGTCAGCCAAATAGATTGGACCTGGAGATTTCAGCCAGATCTGACTATTTTGTGTGAAATATGCATCACACAATCAGTGAACCGTTTATCTGATGTTTCAAGAACATTCAAATGGCCAAACTGCTCATACTCTCCTGCTGAGAACACAAAACGTTAGCAAAAACACATGCACCAGAAGGATGAGAAAAATGGAGTGTGAGTGTGTGAAAAACATGAGCGAGAGGAGGATAAAAAATAAGTGCTGCTGTCCCTTGTGTGCTTTAACTCTCTGCTGGAGTTCCTCTTGATGGCGCTCTGCTATGCAAGATCCTCATGATGCTGGGGGGTTTTCCAGTATAAATTTGTTTGTTTGTCCATGTACAGTTCCTGGGCAAACCCCTCATATGACTTCAACTAACTATGTCATGTTCTGCCTGTCTACAGTAGTTACTGAGCAGCGGTGGTTTCCACAGCATGACGTGCTTTTCAGTGATCCTCTGGCCCGGCAGTTAAACGGTGCAGGTTGACTTCCTTCAGCACCGCCATGATGTATGACCGATACTCAACATGAATAACTAAACAGCCTCATAAATTAGCCAATCACTACTAATATCATTAGACCCACCCCCACCCTTTGCCAACAACACACCCACTTATCCGGCTGCCCAAGCATTTCTGCTGATGCCTGCCTTGTGCTAAAAGGAACATCTGTAATTTTACCTTCACACAGTTTGTTTATTTAGTATTCTAAGCATTTAATTCAAGCTATATCCTTAAGGATTTCCCTTTGTAAACTTAAATGCACAGAAAACAGCAGGGGAAACAATGTTAAGGGAATTCGCCATTAGTAAAAGCCACAGGTGACCTCACTGTAAAGCCGAGACACATCACATGCTAAGCGTAGTAAATTGATTGTCCCCAGAGCAGCCACATCATTACAGCTAATTCTCAGTGCAGATGAAGAGCTGCAGGATGTAAAAATAAAACTCCAATCCAGGCACAATTGAAATCTTTTTGGAAAGAGATTAAAAGATGAAGCCTAATTTTTGTATAAATAATTTTCTCTCATGTTAGCAGATATTTTAAATTGTAAAAATATTTCACAATATTACTCTTATTTACTGTATTTTGATCAAATAATTTCAGCCTTGGTGAGCAGAAGAAGAGACTTCTTTCAAAAAAACATTTTTTTCAAAAATGTCTTATTAAATAGCTATATAAACACATTAATTATTGTATAATGCAGTGAACGACTGATGTCACATGGACTATTTTATCGATGTCCTTAGATTCTGGGTCTTGAACGTGGTAGTTGCGTTGCTGTCTATGGGTCAGAAAGCTCTCAGATTTCATCAAAAATATCTTAATTTGTGCTCCGAAGATGAACGAAGGTCTTACAGGTTTGGAACGACATGAGGGTGAGTAATCAATGACAGAATTTTCATTTTTGGGCGAACTATTTCTTTAAATAGTCTATACACACACACACACCTGTGACCACATATCAACTCAATTCTATATTAATGTGACTCGGGCACAGTAAACAACTAAACTTTTCCTCCTCAAGGTCCTCACCTTCATATGCCTCTATATATTGTTATTAGCTAGCTCGAAGCCCATTGACCAGTGAGCAGATCAACAAAAAACAGCATTTGTCCCCATGTGAATGAGAAACCGAAAGCTCCATGTAATGATAATCACATCCTCTGTAAAACAGCTGGTGGGACATAGCAGTCTGAGGACTAATGCT